TTATGCTCATCTAAAAGCATTCACTGCCGATATTGCATGTGAATGGATCTTTGTATAAAAAGGAAATAGAAAATACATGTCGTAATTGAATTTTCTCAGATTCTGAATGTTTTTAAGTCTTGAAATAAAAATGTTTTTTTTCCATATCAAAGTATGCATATGTCTCAAGAGAACTCTTGTATACATTTTCATATTTTGTCTTGGTGATCCGGTAATAAAATTGCACTCTTGAGTTCGTTCAACAAGACTGTAAAGGTTACTCGTCTTTTGTTAATTCAAAAGATAAATGAATTATCGTATTCTACTTTCATGCTCTCAAGGTGTGAAGTCTTGTTTTCCATTGTCGTTAGTTATTCATTTTCTCGTCACTTTGTTGTTGGCGAGGAATTTTTTTAACAAGAATTTTTATCAAGAATTTTCTATCAAGAACTTCTGCATGAAAGATACGAATTCAGGAAAAAACTGAACTGAGAGTGATGTATGATTTTAAATTGTATCTTTAATTTTTTTCCAGAGGACATTATGGAGTGTTTGTTCGTTTTAATTCATGAAGTGAGAAGCGTAGCAATCTTCTTGATTTACTCGGTCCTTCAAAATTTCAATTCCATTTAAATTTACTCAACGAAAGATATTTTTAGATGAAAAATGCAAATAAGTTGAGTGAGGTATTTTTTGTTAACGGCGACTCCCCAGTTTTTATGTATTAGAACTATACGCTGAATTTGCGGCAAAGGAAATACATTACTGCTTCTAATTATACTAAGTAGTTAGAGTGATCCTTAAACGATACACGAATAAAATAGGTATCAGTCAAATATATTAACTTGGAATGCATTAAAGCTCTTGAGGTCAGAAAAATGTTTTGGCGGTGCCTTAACCCAATGCCGATCGGATATTTCCAGACTTCCACCAAGACAGGTTTTTTCCGACAATTTCATCAACTAAATGTATTTCCTTGCGAATATTAAGAGCCAGCTTCTAATTATCTCACCGAATGACTAATTGTAATGTTATTCTCTACCAAACGTATCGAAATATTCTGCTAAATATGTTCCCTCTATTAAAAGCTGATTAGAAGAGAGACTGGTACTAGTTAGCGAGGATATATCACCAGTCTCTCACGGCCAATTTTTCCAGCTGTCAAAATGGCGAACGATGAGAAGCCTCTGATCTCCAAGAACGTTCTTTACGCAGGAGAAGGTGAAATACCATCGTTTGAAAATGGATCAAAGGTAATTTTTAGCGAAAAATCAAGTTGTCTTTCTTATGTGTAAATTTTAAGCGGGTAAAATTGCTAAGGAATTTCTACAAGGACATTTACTTACCAAGATTTTCTCCATCTATTCAAATCAGGCGACTTTTCATTTTAAAACGTTCAAAAACGATGAAGATAAGACACAAATAGACTGCAGTCGAGATCTTGGGCAGCCTTTTGAGCTCCTCATTGGGAAGAAGTTCAAGCTGGAAGTTTGGGAGGAGCTCATAAAAACCATGAGGGAAAAAGAAGTCGCCCGTTTTATTTGTGAAAAATCGGTAAGATATTTTAAGCTTGATTTAAGTTTACTTAAGGTAGCTCACACCTGTACACAACTTTTCTACTTTGGTGAAAAAGTTCTTTCAGTAAGGTGATGATATGATTTTTATAAAAAAAAAGTCCAATCATTGTTGAGCCTATCCTTTAGCTAACTTGGTACAGTCGATCACATTAACTAGTCAAAACACCTTAATTTTGGATCTTATACAACAGCCGCAACGCATTTTACTCGGGATTTAATCTTTGTTAGGACCCTAGACAGAGCTTTGATTTTTGCTAATTTTCTGCTTATGTTGCCGTTCAATTTTATGCTTGGTTCTGTTTTTTTAATGGCTACTATAATTTGGACGTTGATGTACAAGAATTAAACTTAATTAAAATTTAGCTTAGGAGAGTAGGCTATGTGACTCATTGTTAAAACAAGGCCAATGTGAAGAGGTAACACTCTAAATATATTTCTTGATTAAATTACTTTTTGAGAATGAACAGCAATAAAAAGCCTGCATATAAGACTGACACATATTATGGCTGGAGCTTAATAATTATTATCCAGCTATTATCTCTATGTTGGGACTAGGATTTTCAAAACTCTTATTGGATGGAATGCTATTGTGTTGCATCCATGTGAGCAGTGATAAGCAAATTAAAGTTAACCTGCTGACTGATAAGAGTGATTAGAATCTAATTTCTTCTTATGTTATGTTATCACCCCCATTATCATGCATTAACCCTTTACACACTAACATCAGTATGCATATTCTCCATACTGTTCTCCATATGTTTTCCAAGGTGCTGATAAGGAGAATTTGTTTAAAAATAAAGAGCCTCCTTAGTTGGTGATTATTTCTTTTATTCCTGTGACCCTAATGTGTGATTCAGGGGTGATATTGTAAGGAGAAATTATATGCTGGTCACTCTCAGGGGTCAAAGGGTTAAGGTCACAGAAATAAAGGAATTCATCATCAATGAGAGAAGCTCTTGATTTTTGAACAAAGTTCTCCTTGTTAGCACTTTGGAAATGTACAGCAAAAAGTATGGCAAGTATGCTTACTGCTGTTAGAGTGCAAGTGTTCATTGACTTTTCTGTTGCTAGCTTGTAGGGGGCTATCCTATAGTTGCCAAGAGTCTGCGCACACTTGCAAAGAAGGTAAAAGGAGAGATAACAGAGAAACATGATCATCATGAACATTCTTGTAGTTTATCTGCCATGAAATCAACTGGATATCCTGACTTGGATGACTTGATGGTCAATGAACAAGATCTTATCTTTGAAATTGAACTTTTGAAATATGAGAAACCCGGTGAATACCGAAAAGAAACATGGCAGATGGATGCTGAAGAAAAATTGTCCAACGTACCAGGGTTAAAGGAAATTGGAAACAAATTATATCAACAGAAAAAGTACAAAGAAGCAGCAGAAAAGTATGCAGAGGCTCTGGGATGTCTAGAGCAGCTCTGCCTGCGTGAAAAACCAGGTGATGAACCTTGGCTCGAGCTTGACAGAATGAAGGTCCCTTTCTTGTTAAATTATGCACAGTGCAAGCTCTTTCTTGGGGATTACTATGAAGTTATTGAGCACACATCCACAGTACTTGATAAGGATAAGGACAATGTTAAGGCTTTATATCGACGCGCTAAAGCTCATGTCAAATGCTGGAATCCTCAGGAAGCCAGGGAAGATTTCAACAGGGCAGCTGCTCTTGACCCATCTCTGACAAAAACAGTGAAGAAAGAACTTGATGAACTTGAAAAACTTATTAAAGAACATAATGCAGACAATAAAGAGAAACTGAAGGCACTTTTTAAGTAACTCTTTGAAAATCTGTGTTATGTCAGGTGTTTTGTCAAAGAAGAAAGCTTTTTCAAGCAAATTGAATGTCAGCAAATAATAATTGTCTTTGAATTTCAGGCTGATTTGACATTGACATTGGAACATTTTTAAATGTTAAAAAACTTGATTTGTGTAAATATTTCTTTATTTATTAACTATCCATAACAACTCAAAAATGTGTCTCAATTCAGAAATGTCAGAGATACTAAACATATGCAGTTAAGATAAACTGATACAATGATGTAACTCATTTGTAATCTGAATTCATCTATTTTGCTATCATAACAATAATTAAGCTCAGATTTTACTGCAAGAAAACGAAAGGAAAGAATAAAAAATATTTATTGCCACTGTCTTGTATGAAATTTTGAACTTTGAGTGTAAGTCATAGTAAAATTCCATCAAAGATTTGTGTATCATTATGAGTGCCATTTGAAGCCTTGCTTAGAATCAATATATCAAGTCCTCATGTATTGCAAATTATTTGCAAAGATATCCCAAGAACAGTAACAGCAATTATATATTTTTCTGTGTTCAAGTGGACTTGTTTCCTGACATATTGTCAATTACACACGAGTTAATCTCTACTTTTAATGCTGTAGATTTAAAACTTACACAAGAATTAAATTAAAATGCGCTTACTTATTAAAAGTTTGCAGCTGAGCCTACGAAGAAAATTTTTTAATTAACACAGTAAAGGCTGAGGAGAAAATTTTCTCCAGCTTTGAAGAGTTGATGAAGTCTTTGCTGTGATTATTATTTAGTGTTTGCATCAGTGATCAGTGACAAGATTTGCATTGTTACCCTATCACGTTTGCAAATAATTTATTTTGTCTTTTCAGACCTTGCAGACAATTGTTTTCAATATTTTTCATACCCCTCTCCAAAAAAATAATGGTCCGACCCCTAAGTATTCGCATCTGATTGGTTAAGAGCAGAAGGTCAAATTCTTTAAATTTGTACACTAGCACTTTCAAAGTTTCCCGCGAAAAGTCTACGCCAGAAAAAAAAAACAAAAAAAAAAAAAACTCACAGCTAAGATTTATAGTATTGTTGCCTGGGGGAAGGCTCACTTTTAAACCTCAGGCAGCGAAATATTGCGGCAAATTACACCGGGCATTTGTTCCATTCGTGAAAAGCGTGTGCATGAATCGCACTTATCTGGAGCTATAATTTGCATTATAGCAGCGGTGTTTAGGCGGAAATTGTCTGGTGTTTTCTGTTAAAATAACTATAGCACCTATAAATAGTATTTATTCCCAGTTATCTCTCTCGTCTGCGACAGTTCAGCTCAAGAACATCATCTACCTCGAATGCGATCTTTCCACGAGTGCGAGTAAATTATACTCAGCTGCTTCTCAATCGGAAAGTATGCTACTATTAACTTTGCCGTGTCTTCAATGCTTCAATCCCTTATTCATTTTGCTAAAAGCCTCTCATAACCTCTAAATTGGTCAAAGTTCGCACTGAGCTTGGGTTAAACACGGAAATCCGAGATCCTTGGTCTCGCGTCACGCTGTCCATGTTCCTTATTTCCCGTCGCTTAGTTGCGCGCGTTTGTGTGCCAGTTTGACCAATCAGAGCGCTCGTTCTGATACTCGGTCCTCTTCCAGCTGTTTTTGCTTAAAACGAAATAACGACAACATGGCGTCTAAACTGATCACAGATGTATTTCCTATAACCAAAAAGGAAAGGCCGGTAAACAAAAAACAGCCGCAAACGAAGCTTTCGGATCCAATCCAGAAAGGTTAGTCTCTCTTCTTGCTCTCTTTATTTCCTGTTATATTTTGAGATAAGGTCTTGACTTCTGTTTCTTGTAGATGCTGAAACTGCAGTTGCCAAAGATGTAACTTCAGACCTCGCGAAAGAGCTTTTGATGCTGAAAGAGTTTGACTTAGATTCCGAATTTGGGCCATGTATTGGTATGTTGAAATTTTTGTGTTATCTTCAAAAATTTAAATCACTTCTCAGCGGGGCTGGTTATTTTAATTTATCGGACTGGCCATTTTTTTTTAGTTTGATTTTGGCTGACATATTGCCTCTTCTCAATTGAGCTTCGTGTCTAATCTGTTTCTGAGCCGTTGTCTTTCTTTTTTACCCTTGAATTTCAATGTTTCCCGTGGAAAGTGAGGTGACACAAAGTTCACTCAGCCTAACGATTAAGACAACCGATTTTCATACTGATAGAACATTTGTTGTGTCTGTATTGGCTGAAATCACTCGTGATTTAATGTTATTTGTAGCTTATCTTCGCGTACGGGCTTACCTGTTTACTTTTAGGAATAACCAGACTACAAAGATGGGAACGAGCTAAAGAATATGGACTTTTTCCTCCTGAGGAAGTCAAGGAAATAATTCTAAGACATCCCAATGACATAGCATTCACAGAGTGGTAAATACATTTTGCTTGTTCTGCTCTAGACAGTGTAACCTTTATACTTAGCGGTGCTACATGTGGGCTCTGAGTTATCAGTCAACGCTAGTTAACCAAATATATCTTTACTTTCTTTCAGTGTATGGTTTGATGCCAATCTTTGAAACGAAACAAAGTGTTTGAACCATATGTACACAACATGTTGTACTGTACAACAAAACATTCTTTTATCTTCAAGAATTATTCTAGGAAAAAAACTTTCACGAGTTCCCAGTAAGGTCTACATATGTATATATACTTGCATGAAATGTCCCTGTTTAGGTAGATAAGAGAATAATAACCTAGTGTTGTCTGCTGTAAATATGAATTTTGTTCCAGAAAATTGCACCATCTTATGTACAGTTTGCAGTCCTTGTGTGTGTAAGCTACTGACAGTAGAATGCTTGTACATTAATGTTAGCTCACAAACTCAACTTATTATTGTGCATGTAAGTTGGATTTAAAACTAAATATGATGTTAAAAAAGGTGCAGGTGTTAAGGTATGGAATATCTGCCTGTAGAATTACTTACACCAAACTAGTACAAGTAAGGTCGTTCTTGTCATTAGGTTTTATGTTTTTTATCAGGTGGCCACTAATCTCTTATTAGGAATAAATAGCAGAGTATGTAGGAGAGACCAGTAGAACCTCATGAATTTGTAACATTACAATAAAATATTTAATCCTAAATGTGCTTTATTGAGTGTTGTAACTAAGGTACAATCTGAACCTGTTCAAAAGAATTCAACTGGCACAAAATAGTATCGGATCAATATCAGTAACTGGGCAACTGCCCACCTACCCCTCCCCTAACCCAACAACAGTCTATTGATAACAACTAAGGGTTAATACTGGGTTTGGGGAGGGGTAGGTGGGCAGTTGCCCAGATACTGATATTGATCCATAGTATCAGCTTGGATTCATTGCAAGGAATCTGTAATGTAAGGATTGTTGGTAGAGCAATTTTCAATAGTGTCAAAATGGGATTGCTTTGTTTTTGCCTTACTTCCCTTTGTGACTGATCCAGAAAACTTCCACTAATCTCATAACCAATCAGATGCAAAACTAAAACCAACCCTTATTGGGGCACGTGCATTTTCCCACCCTTTTCAAAGTTTTCTTGTTTTAACTTAAATGTTCCTATGGGCTCTTAACCATTTCACTCCCACAAGTGACCAAGACAGAATTTCTCCTTACAATATCAATACAATATCAAGCAGGCAGGTGATGAGAATAGAGAAGAATATCAATTATGGGATTATTAGTTGATCCAATATCAAATTCTCTGAACTAACATCATAAGAATTGTACGGCAGATAGTAAGGAGAGTTACTAATTAGATCTTGGGAGTGAAAAGGTTAAAGGTTTTTTCCTTTCTTCTGATTCGCCGTTGTGATTACTTTGGCTTTGGTTTTATAATGCTCAATTAGAAAAGCCCTCTATTACATCTTTTTGCTTGGTTAGACTGCAGTTGCGGTTTGCCGAGGAATCAGTTGAACCTTCTTGTAACATGCCATGCTGCAAACTGGCAGATTATTACTAGAACATGAATATTTCTTCAGGTTTGTACATCCCTGAGCTGAGCATGCTGATCTTGGTTTTGGAGGCCTGAAAAATATATCCCAAAAAAATTTAGTTGACTACAGAGCACACAAATAACAAATGAAAAGTTCCCATTGGTATGTTATACTCCAAGATATTAAATTGGTCATTATTATTTATTGTCATTATTATTATTATTATTATTATTATTATTATTATTATCATTATTATCATTATTATTTCCACCTTTTAAAACCTACCCCTGAGATGACTGCATTTGTAATGGAAACTCCAAGCCAGTTGAAAAGGACATAGCAAATCCCTGGTAATTACTGACATATCTGATGTGAGGAACCTCCTGCTTCTTTTTTCGTGCCTGCTAAAAAACAGAATATCAGACCGTTTCCTACTAGGAAAGTTCAGTGCCAAACACCTCTCAAAATAATTAATCTCAAGCACTCTAGGCTGGGTCTGGTGAAAAAAATTCACAGCAGTCCTAGATTGACCAGGGAGTTACTTCAATCAACTTGGGCAAGGATAGCAAGTTGTCTGTAACTGTACACTTCACCCATCTACCTAGTGTATGGTAATGGTCAGCTGGCATAAAAATTGGGATGAAATTTGGCTTCTGTAAAGCATGTGAGTTTTTCATGAGCTTTACCTTCTCCTCCTCTTTGCGTGATCTTGTAGCTTCTCTATCCAACAGTTTCTTCACAGTTTGTGTCTGGGAAAAGTGAAATTATTGATTGTGAGTTATACTAATCAGCATCTCCTCTGCCACAAAAACTTAGTTCATTTTAAGTATAGTAGTATTGTAATTGATAGCAGGGGTACCTCTGAAATGTGTGCACACAGACATGTCTGTTAACAACACCTTGGCTCTAAACATAGCTTTTTAAGTTATTATTGATTTCATACACCATTGAGGTACCTTATTTTCTTCAATTTTTTTCTGCATTTGCTGTTTTCTCTTCTTAGCTCTTTGTTTCCGTCTTCTCTGAGCTTCTTCAGTGTCTTCATTCTTCCGTCTTGGTTCTGAAATTGTGCGTTGCCTTTCATTAGTGACATAGATGTAAGAACAATGACATAATGAACACGAAGTCACTGAGTGATTGCTTATAGCAAACATGCAGCTGTGTCCATCAAAAAGCTCACAAAAATCTTACAAACAAAAATTCTACATGGGAATGGTAAGAGACCTCACAAAGCTTTATAGGCTGCAGTAGACCACTGAAAATCAGCTTCCATTATAACCTCTAGGTGGAATCTCTGCATTTTTTCCAGACATAAATCTCTAGAAAGCTTTACAAGGACATTAAGGAGTGAATGAAAATTAACTTGAAAAGAAGTTTATCCAATAGAAATCATCTTCTTGTATAGTTTCATCCTTCCCCTAACTTTGCAGGTTAATATCAATGCCACAAGTTGCCTTAGCCTTGAGTCAGTTCTGACAATTTTGGTTTCTTTCACAAACATCTTACCTGTTGGAAGCTCCAAAAGTTGATTTTCTCCCTCTATTTCATGTCCAAGCATGGCTCTCTGACAAAGACACAAAAGTTTGCATTACTAGGAATTGTAATTACTACACCTTAACAGCCAAGCTGAGGATGGTGATTATCATAGCGAAGACAATTTCACTACCTTTTGTTACTTTGCATGTTAAAAAGTGTAAATGGTTTTGCCCATAACTTGAATGATGAACCCAGTTGTTCATGGGGCAGTTACATGTAACCCTTTAACACGTAAGAGTGACTAGCATCTAATTTCTCCTTACAATATCACCCCTGAAGCACACGTTAAGGTCACTACAATATAGACAATGATCCCCGTTTCACTTCTTTGTTACACAAATTCTCCTTGTCAGCACCTTACAATATATAAAGAGGACAGTATGGAGAATATGCATTTTGATGTTAAGGTGTAAAGGGCTAATGCTGGCCAATGGACGAATCGCTCTCCAGCACATACTTGTTCAAAAATATACTGTGCTATCCAGTTTTATACAGTGGACAGTGTTATTCAGAGTTCAAACTAGCAGGGTATGATTTAATATAGATTTCTTCAAAATAAAAATTATCACAAGTTTTGACAAACAAAAAAAAAACCAAACAGTTTTGGTTCAAAGGAATCCTACCTGTCTGGCAGTCATCATGCTCACATCCTTGTCTTGTTTGACGCGACCATAGTCATCCAGTTCACCTTTCTCTAATGCATCTAACCATTTCTGTTCTTCTTGACTGTCAAATAACATCACTACAGTCAAAGCTCATTTAAACAACCCTACTTTAAGTGAAGACCTTTCTTATTCTGGATAATTTGATAAAATGTCTCAACCTTTTGACCACAAAGAGTGACCCACATCTAATTTTCCCTTACAATATCAAGAAGTTCTTGATTGTTAAAAGAATTCTACTTGTTTATACCTTAGGAACGGTATGATTGGAAAACAATAAAGTCCCTTTTAATAAACTTGTGAGGTCAGTCCCATAAGGTCAGAAAACCCACTTCAACTGTTCAACCGTAGATCTGAAGTAAAATATTCTTTTTAGCTGTGTTGCAACTATGAGTGTAAAACTAAAAAACATACTCATCAGAATCGCCACGTTTCTCAGCAACTTCAGGCTCATCTTTCTCGTCTTTTTCACTTCCTTAGAAACAACACCACACAACCTAATTAACTCTCAAAGTTATCATTTCTAAATACTGACACACTATATTTCACTTGTGAAGCTACCCACAAAGTACTCCTATTGGGAACACTCCCCGTTCTTTTTTCCAAGTATACCTGTGTCATTTACTGAATAACAATCTTTCACAAAATAAACATTACTTGATAAAACTGATGCAGAAGATTTCTATGAATCACGCCGTGTTTAGGGGAACAGTTTGATTTTATTATTAACCCTTAAACTCCCAGAAGTGATTAACATAAAACTTCTCCCTACAATATCCATACATTCTTCAGCAAACAGGTAATGAGAATATTCAAACTTATCAGGTAGAAGCTGCTATCTTGATCTAGCACCAAGTTCTCATAACTAATTTACAAGGAAATGTGTAGCAGCTAGAGGGGAGAATTAACAATCAGATCTCAGAATTTAAAGGGTCAATAGCCTATGAACCATGGATAGGAGGTATGAAGAGTACACTTAACAACGTTGAAGATACTTTTACCACCTTCACTCCCAGGATCTCATAAGAAATTCTCTTTATTTTCTGCTATACAATTCATAAGATGTTACTTTGGAGAAGTTGGTATTATATTAGCTAATAATACCCAGTTGATATTTTTCTCTATTCTTATCACTTGTCTGCCTGATATTGTGATAATATTATAGAGAGAAATTCTGTCTTGGTCACTCATGGTAGTTAAAGGGTTAATGATGCTTATATAGTGAATACTTGTCTATTCAGCAAACCTTGCCAAGATGGCTGATAACTATCTTCGTCTTCCTCCTCTCCACTGGTTATTACAGCCTCTGGCGGTTTCACAGGAACTATTTTTGCCATTCTAAAAACACAAGCCAGCAAAATGTTCAGTTATTACACTTTGTTTTGAATACTAGAACACCAGCCAGTTTGATGGGTTATTGAATATTTGAAATATTTGAAAAAAAACTCTAATCTACCATTACATATTTCCATAAGATGGGCTGGTTCATCTTAATTACACCAGTTTACTCCTTTCACTCACAAGATCTCATTTGTAATTCTCCTTGCTGTCTGCCATACAATTCTATGATATTAGCTTTTGGTGTTCCATCAACTAATGTTCCCCTAATTGATTCCTTTCTGTTGACTGGCATTTGCTTGACGTTTGATCATTTCCATTCGTTCATGCTATCATTGTACTTGTTTCATTTCCCTCCCTCTCATTCCAAAGACTTTCCTTGAGCTCTCAGAGACTCTCAGTTTCCTCATTAAAGATGCCCAAATGGATTCACTGTTTTGTTTGTTGTGTCATGTGAGTGTGGTGTGATGGGGTTAATTTATATTGCTACATGTAAGACTGATGCACTAAAACCTAGGGTGTCATTTCAATCTACTCACTGTGTTGTTGCTAATGTTTCACCCCCGAGTTTTATCTTAAGAGTCACGGCTTTTCCCTCATCTTTATTGCTATCCCTGTCCTTGTCTTTCTCTCGTGATTTACTCTTATCTTTGTTCTTTTCCTTTTTGCGAGGTTCTTCAAGTCCCTCTGGTCCATGATCCTTCTTCTTCTTGTGCTTCTTGTGTTTGTGCTTGTGTTTCTTTTTAGGAGAAGTGGATGATGATTCTAATGCAAAAAAAGGGACCACTTCCAGTTAAATAGCTCTCTCATGTACATCTGTGTTTGGTTCTAAAAATCTTCATCAAAGAACACTCTACTGTCTTTCTTTTTCATACACCCCTGGTTCCTCCAGTAATAAGTTTCATCCACAACTCCCTTTCAACCCTTTGAGTGACCAGCATCTAAAGCTTGGATTGATAAACCAATTCTCCTTGACAGTACCAAAGGAAATGGATAGAGAACAGTATGGAGAATGTGGATACTGATGTTTGGGTGTTAAGGTTAATTTCGCAACCTGTTTGATTCGTCAGTTTGTTTATATATTTGTCATTTTGAGTGTTTACTGCACTTTATACAGTAAGAAAATCCTTTAATTTTATCGCTGTGATTTTTGATTGAACATAAAATGCCACAAGAAATTAATTCTATTTATCAACATGATAAACAAAACCAACAAAACATACATGCTCCTTGTGTCTTCTGATCAAAAGCTAACCTCTCCTTTATGAAATCACTTATTCCTTGACATGAATGCTAGATTACTAGATGGCCATAAATTAAGTCTTGATGCCCACCGAGAGAGTTTTATACTTGAATAAAACACAAGCATTAAAGAACGAAACTGTTCCAAAACATATCAACTAAAACCTGAGTCGTCTCCGCCAGATGATATGGTTACGAGGGGCTCTCAAACACAGCATAAGAGAACTCGATGGTATAAAATCTAGTATTTGTAGTTCATTACAGTTCAAACTAGTGTAGAATAGAGACTTCTACCAACCTTTTGTATCCTCTTCGTTTGCTTCTTTCCGCTTCGGCATCTTTCTTTCTTATTCGCGTTTCAAGATGGCGCCAGCCTCGCTTTCATGGCAATTCTCCCACGCGATACCACGCGCGCGGAAACGCAGAGCGTGTGGATGGGTCTTGAAAAGTTACTTTTAACCTAGTTTTGCACGCTGGCGCCCTTGTATGGTCAGCTCGGATTCGACATTCTTTGTAAGTGTGAACACGTGTGTGGTATTCATTTTCACGCAACCGCTCTATATGTTATTAGACATTGGGGAAGGGTTAACACCAGGTTACATTTCAATTCTACAATCGTATCATGCCTCAAAATACGAACCCAAACCAGTTGAATCTCTGCTGCCGATCAGAATCCTTTACCGGGAACAGCGAAATCCACGTATGTCTTGCCAAAAAACAATTTGCACTTCCCGTGAATACGCAATGTGTCTTCATTCCATTCAAGTTCACTTTGCACAAACACCCTGTATCTGTAATTTGAGGCAAGATTGAGGAGAATCTTTTCGGCCTTCAGTAACCAGTCTGCCCACACACCCCCGTTTGAGGCCAAGGGATCGTAAAAAAAGCGTTTCTGTCCGCACAAACTACTCACTTCCCCTTTGTCAAACGGTGGTCTGTTAGCAAGCCTCCATAGGGATGCTATGTTCATGTAAGATATTAACTGTGACAGCTGCACCATCCACTGACAACTTTTCTATTCCTTTATTTTACTTATAAAAGAAATTGTACCCAACAACTGTAGCGGGATGTAATAATACCTTAGAAGTTCAATACATTCTTCATTTTGTTGAGTTATTGAGAATAAACAATTCTGTGTCAAGACACAAACAACATATCTGACTTTCAGCAGAGCTACTGATCAGTTTTCCATTCGGTACAAAAATAGGAAACGAAATTATGATGAACCCCCCCAGCGGCCATATTCCAGCCCTATTAACAATTGTACTCTTAAACCTTAACTCCCTAAAGTGATTAACAAGTATCATTTCCATCATTTTCATTTTTCAATTTAAAATTATTTCAACATCAATTTGTCCACTTAGAATTACTCAGATTGTACAGTGTCCAAAAATAGATAAATTTGAATTTTCAAAAGTGTCTGAAGCCCAGAGACACTAAAAGCTATAACAAAAGCCACTTGCAAAATGATGGCTTTCAATTCTTTTTGATAACTAATCTAAATTGCATTATTATCGTCTGACATTCTCTAAAACTATATCCTCTTCGTCATCGTCAGTATCATCTGAATACTCATTGTTCAGTAACGCCTTAGAATTAAACGAATTTATCGATCGTTCGTGTTCAAAATCCATCAAATATCCATTTCTCCGCACGGTGAGTTGTTTTCTGTAACGCGCCAAACGCCACAGTCCTATGACAAATAGGAGGAACACTGCTGCCACCAGGACGCATATTCCCACCATAACAGCCGCTGGTAGGCCAAACACTAAATGTTGTCGAGGCAGGGTAAACTTAACTTGTAACGCAGGCTCATTTGGATGAACTTGGACGTCCAACGTCACTTTTTGCCGCTCTGGCGCTGAAGCGGAAACTTTATACTTCCCTGGAGTAAGAATTCGCCAAAAATCGCCGTCTTTGGTAGTTGTGACGTCATGATCACGGCCTTCTACTGAGATTACTGCGTTAGAGATAGGGGAGCCTGCATCATCATAAACGAAGCCTTTTACACCTCGATGAACCTGCCCAAAAAGAAAACAGCATCTCATCACTCATAGAATATAAAAAGATAACAGACAAGAATACAGCTGATTTATATTAAATTAAGTTCATCGGTCAAAGGTATCACAAAATAGAGAGAGAGAGAGTTAATTCTGCTCAGATCTTTACGAAGAAAAGACTGAAGGTATCCTCGTTTCAAACTAGATACTTATTCCATAACTTTTTTCAAGTTCCCCAAATAATTGGTGACTAGCCATACTTCGAGTATACTGGAAGAGAGACGCGGTGAAGGTGAACCTTCGCCATGTCTGTAATGAGGTACGGTACGGTACGGTACGGTACGGTACGGTACGGTACGGTACGGTACGGTACGGTACGGTACGGTACGGTACGGTACGGTACGGTACAGTACTAGGTACGGTTAAGTGGCTCGCATCGTGTGTGCGCGGGTGGCTCGCGTCGCGATGTATTCATTAGAGTTCAGGAACTAAAGTTCTCATGTTCTCCCATCTGCATGAAGTAGACGGTGCGAAAAGTAAAGTTTAATTTTCGAAGAGTTATGTTCCTTACCTGAAACACAAAAAAGAACAGAGGGTCCTTGTGTTCTTTCCAATGATGCTCCAACTCCTGTGCGTAGGGAAATTTACAACAGCCCATGTGTATTCCGATCTCAAAACAGTTGGAATTTTGGTACATGTAATCTTTCATGCCACCTTCCTTGCTCTTCCAAGCTGCTCCATTTGTGATACCTTTAGGAAACTCCTCCCCGACCGAAGGGCCTGGACATAACGGCTTCCCATAATGCATCGATGGATGTGAGTTAGCATAAGTACTTGCTAAGTAACGGAAGACGTCGTCGTCATTGGTAGGGTGGGGAAGTGAGCGACCCTTAGGGTGGGCATCAAAGGGATAGCTTGCAACAAGTGAACCTCCATATAAACTGGCCGCCAATACAAACGGATATTTCTTACTCCACTTTACCATGGCGTTTGTTTCAGCCTCCAAAACCTTTTGCGATGACTCAGAAGACTCTGTAAAACACAACAACAGCAAGATAATTGAATGTGCTATACGTGGCAGGAGTCGCCAAAAGATGAACTGGATGCCCAAAGGCAGAAGAGAGTTTCTAGTGTGCGACATCTTCCATAAATTAGCGGCATACTGTGAAGGACAAACGTATAGAAGAACCAACCCTACTACTTCCAGAAATGTTTTTACCTCGATCTCTTCTTGCAACACTAGTGCATCATCCAGCGGACCGGTGATGGGAATAGCGAAACGTATCAGTACATAGGTAAACGGGATCAATATCAGTATCTGAATAACTGCCCACCTACCCCTCCCCTAACCCAACAACAGTCTATTGATAACAAGTTAGGGTTAATGTTGGGTTAGGGGAGGGGTAGGTGGGCAGTTGCCCAGATACTGATATTGATCCGGTAAACGTACAGATAGACATCAACCCCTCGACTGATCAACATTTCACTTCTCCCTACAACATCGACATCTTATCCAGCAAACAGGTTATGAGAATGAAGGAACTGGTCAGTTAGATGGTGTCATTTTGATTTAGCGCCCAATTCAGAACTTATTTGATAGGAAATGTAATGTAACCATCCACGAAAGTTAAAAACTAACCTTAGGAGTTGAAAGGATGGAATGGTTGTTACGAAGCTTATACTACGAGGTATCTATGGAAATTTGACTGTTTTGAATTAGTGCTCAATGAGTCCGATACAAAACATCACCTTGGACACCAAACGATTCATCAAATGCTCCTTAATGAGATTATTTTGAATTCAAAGACGAGAACATACCCGGAAAATCAGCGTTGATATCCACGTCTCTAGCGTTATTCCTTCCCTTGTCCGATGAACAGTCTCCTTCGGAGGCCAGCTCGTATCCATCTGAGTTCAGGGCAGGCAAGATATGTATTCTAGTGCTGTTTACTAACCGCGTGACCAAGTCATCTTTACCGTAACTCAAACAAAGATGCTGAATCATCATCAGCAGCATCTCTTTACCAACTACTTCATTACCATGGATGCCACCCACATAGCTAAACTCCGGCTCCCCTGGTTCATGTACCCCGGGGTTATCCGAGATCTCCATGACCCAGATATTGCGGAACTGAACAGTTTGTCCAATGCTGTACAGCCTTGTGATGCCTGGACATGTGGACGATATGTTTCGAAGAAACTTCTCCATGGCGGCATATTTATGATGGAAAAATCGTGGTATTTTATGCAAATTAAACATGATGTTTGCCCTTAAACCTTCACTGATCGTCACCTCTTTGGTAGTACTTGAATAACCCGGTGCATTCACAGTGATCTTATACTTCCCCTTGGCAAGAGGTCGATAGAATTTTGCTCCATTTTGTTTGAGGACAATGTCTGCGTTTGGGCTCCTTATTGTGACTGTAGTGTCATTTACCGGACGGTGATCTAGGTTGTGAATAACACCTTGTACTCCTTGATGAGCTTTTTCTAAAAAGCCTAACAGCGCCTGACGATTTGCCTCCCAAATACTATCTAGTTCTTTGAGCGGTGGGTACTTGCAACAGGAAATGAAGAACGAGAGTTGTGGAATGCCCAGACTCAAATAGGCGTAGTCCTGCATGGTGTAATAAGCCTCTTTCCACTGTGCCCCATTCACTATTCCATTTGGAAACCCAGCGGCAGATTCATTACAACTGCTTCCATATGACATTGTGGGATGCTTCGTGGAATAGCTAAGAGCAAGCTCTTTAAATAACTTGTCATCTGTTGTCACCGAACCTTTCACATATTCACTGTGGGAGGTATGGACGCTCATGGGATACCTGTGAAATGAAGTGGAAGATTATATTTAGGCAAAGGATGGAACTCGATTTCAAGTTGCCCACGGGATAGGCGTCATCAATTACGTTTTTCAGACAAGCTGCAGTAAGTGCCGGACAAGCACGGGGGTGAGAACGCGCTAGGCGAGAAGCGTGACAAAAAAAGTCTGGTTTCCCTGTGGACGTATTTGTTTCCAGTCTTCTCCACTTGCGCTTGAGTCACCCGTTGCGCTCGCTTCGCGCTTGTCTCGTTTGTCTGAACTGTTTGGACGAAAGAAATGGCAGAATGACACTTCAAGTTGTTGTACGATAAAAAAAGTGTTATTTTTATATGAGAATATAAGAAATAAGATAATTATGAAATAAGATTTATAACAACAACAACAACTTCCCCCTCCCCGCAAAACAAAAGAAACAATTTTGCACTCCTCACCTTGCCACCAATTCACCTCCACTAAAGTCAGCCAGAAGTACAAAGTTATGCTCGTTCATCCACTCTTTCAAATGTTTAACTTCCTGAGGTTCATCAGCGGCTGACTGAAGAAACTAGAATAAAAGA